CGACGACGTTGCCTAGTCGGCCGCCGAAGAGGAGTCTGATAGAGCGAGGGTATATTGCGATGCGCAGTGTCACAAGGAGGGGACGGATGGGGCAGTTGAGGTAGCGGTACGCAGAGAGAAGTTGCGCAGAGGTGAGCCCTCCGGGTATGTCTGGTAGCATGGTCTATTCAGTCACAACGTAAATGAGGTGGTATTGTATGGACGCACCGGGGTTCGACAAGCTCATGTCTTGTGCTTGCGCTGAGAGACATACAGAACGGTTACTGGATGGATCTGTGTGTAGATAGGGTTAATCAACGATCCTCTCCAATGAGGTTCGTGCGGGAACGAACCTCGAACGTCCTGGAGTTCCTGTCCGTCTGGAAAAGATCCCGGAAAGGTTGGGGGCTTCCAACCAGGCGTGTCTGATGCATATTCATCTCGCCACAATCCCAGTGTGTAGTAACGCAAGGCGAGTCTTCCGACGTAGGACCCAAGGGCGCGCAAGATTCTGCGGACTGTGCGGACAAGAGAGCAGGGAACGGTGAGCAGAGCAAAGGAGAGAATACGTTGCGGTGCAAGAGCAACTGCCAAGACAGATAGGTTGAAGTAGGAGAGCGAAAGAAGAGTCGCCATGGTGTCGCTCGACGTTGAGGAGCCTTACACCATGGGACGGGGATGGGACATGGGGGATCGCAGCATCGGTACCCCAGTCCATCGTGGGGTATTTTATGCAAGACGAACTTGGGAAGCACGGAAGTCGCTGTCTGCGTGGCTGTCGTTGTAGCTGTCCGAGTACCGTCTCCGTCCTCATCGTCAGTGAATAGTCCCGAGCAACTTGACGCGTTGGCAAGCGGCCCGCCCGGCGCTCCGTCAGGTCAGGTGACCGTGTTTCTGTTTTGGCGCTTGGTCCCGACGCCGGTTTACGGTCGACTTCGAGCTTGACCTTAAACCTCATCGTCGGGGGCCTTAATGTCGACGGCAACGACTCATTCTATGCGTTTAATACCCCCGGCTGAGACCGTAACGATGGTTGAGAAGTTCTGGAGGCACAAAAGTACACCGGTTCCACAATCCTCTTCCCTTTCCTGGCGAACCGGTACCTCATGGGTGCGTAGCTAGTCTTCTTCCGCGCTCTAGCTCTCAATAACTAACGAGTTGTCATTGATTTAGACTCTGTTGGTTTTGGCACCAGAACCGCGATGCACCTTGAACAAATCACTTCTCCGAGATGCGACTATCGGTCTCGACACTCGTGTGATGTTCGTCAGCATAGAGTTCCGTCTTTGTACTTTGAGAAGAGAAGCATTGCTCCCTGGGCTGTGTCCGTGAGAAGGACAGGTACTCGCGATACTTCTATGATCAAATTATGTACACCTGACGGAAGACCTATAAACAGCGCAGGTCTAACAGCTCTTGCACTACGCAGCGTGCTCCCGTCGTCGACATGTCTTCGCCGAATGAACCTGACGTTGCTGCAGTAATCGACGCCGTTCACAGTGTGTACGTGTATGCTTATTATATTCGCTCGATTTACCTCTAATACTAATATTCGTGCAGATATGTGGCCACTTTTTGCCTGTGCGCTGTCACGGGTAAGTGAGCTCTCCTGAGGCCTGATCTAGCTCGCTTCAGTTGCCTCATCCACTTTGGTGCTAGCGCTTGTATTTTATGAATACATCTACACCATCGGCCAAGAGGTAGATCTGTTCTGGAAGCGCAAGTTCACCGGCGCAACAGCTTTGTTCCTGGCCAACCGGTATCTCATTATGTTCGGATATATCCTCAGCATATCCACCGTAGAGAAGGTCTCTGATTCTGTACGTACCCGGTCCTGTATTTTTCTTCTGTGTCAATGCTGAAGGTAGTCCTGCAAGGTGTACGCTGATTATTATCTCTTGGGTGATCCGACTGCCATTGATTTGCACCGATCTCCCCATGACAGTTGTGTGGGCCTGGTCAAGACAGGCGTGGTCATTTACAATCTCCCATATGTCCCATGGGCAGGTGAGTCTCCAAATACTACTCACGTCTGAAACTGCTGACCGTGAATGTTGCGTCTAAGTGTTTTCTGCCCTGCGTGCCTACGTTCTTACAAAGCGTAGTTTGCCTCTGGCGCTCTTCACCTTTGGACTTGGAATGGTTCCCTATGGGTTGAATATGGTATGTACCCCTGACTCGAGTCAAACATCCGTATGACATCCTGATAATGTGGTAGGCCGAACTCGGGCTAGGTCTGACGGGCGTGGTAGATCCTATTTTCGGGTGCTCGGATATTGTGCCCAGGCTCACCCCGGAACTTGCGAAGCGGTATGTGTTACCTCGCTGCCCCCATGTCAAAAAAGTAGACTGGAGTCATTAATCCCGACCACAGAAGTATGTTTTATATTCCGAAGTTGAGGGCACGGTGCTGAATCCCAGTCCTATTCTTGACAGTGACGATCGCGTCGCGCACACCTATGATCATCTCCGACTTGATCCTCATCGGCGTCACCTGGAGACGACTACGTGGACCTGTCAATCTTATTCGGCCTTCTACGGCAGGCCTGACAGCGGTGTTACTCCGCGACGGTGAGCACCTCCGATAATCTCCCAGAGGTCGTCTCCTGACCGCACGCATCCCAGGAATGGTCTACTTTCTGTAAGTAGTCCGTAATATCCGGCGACAACGTCCTACTGATCTCGTTCAATATGAAGTGTTATATTTACCTTGAACGCCCTCCATCTGGGGTTCACGCTTGCCTCGGTATGTCCCTTTTGAAGTTTACCTAAGGTCAATGTCCACCCATCTTCGTGACAGATTAGCGTCGGATCCTCGGACTTCATCAGCAACGTCACAGTGTTCACCTTCCCGTACGTGCTCCCTTCGACTCTGTGCTTTGGTATAAGCTAAGCGGCGCACTCACCATTGTGTGGAACCAGGCTCACGGGAATTCTCGTCTCCCGCTTCTTGCTTGACTTGCAGCATGCTAACCAAGCGGCAGAGCTGAACCTTGGCTCGCATATTATGGAGTCGCATCCCGACACCGCGACGGCTCATGCCAAGTCCACGCTGGTTTTCGAACGTGTGTTCATCGGATCCATCGGATCTTCACTGAACGCAATTGGGGGCTTGGATGGCCCCTTTGATGAGGACGCACAAAATCCGATAGAGACAGACGAGGTAGCTGTTGTGAAGGACTGGTACGTGAACGTCTTGACACTTTCCTGAGAAGCCTCCGCAGCTGATCTACGGTTCTAGACAGTATACGCGCTGTATCTCTCTTCTAGTACACGCTATGTCACCGTTGGTCTAAAACCCTTAGCTATTGCCCTCACTTCGGACGCGAGCAACACGTGACACCAATCAAGTGAACCTCCGTCCAGAGATCGCCGGCGGCCCTACTTCTCCCGAATTGTGTGGACGACGGTAACTGGGGCAGAGTCCAGACGAGATGACCATTTTGATGTCCATCGTTTTGACCAGTGACTCCTCGACAACTGAATTTGCTCGCCCTCTCTATGTAAGTCTTCTCACGTGATCGCGTAGCTTGGTGACCTCAACCTCTTGGGACTTCCTCCAAGTATTCGCCTCTACCGCTAATATTCTCTTCCTTAAACTTCCAGCTTACTCACTCATCATTTCTGATGTTGTAAGCACTGGGGTCATGCTCGAAACCAGCCGATTGAGGTGTTCATCCCTATGATTCGACGATCGCTCAGGCTCAGTACAGGCGAGTACCTTCTCAGTCGTTGACTAACAAAGCGCAATCCGTAACGTCCCGAATGAGTTCGTCATCGGCAGTACTAGTGAATTAGCAGGACGCACCATGTGGACGGGGATCAGCGCCTGCGGGTCCGCCGTCGAGTCATGAAATAGTCGCGCGTGGTGCGTTATATAGCATGTCCATCGCACCTTCGGGGGCGTACATCAACTTTGACCGTACATCAACCTTGACTCTCAATAGCCAGGTACGCATCTGCCCGCCCACATGTGTGCACGAGCTCACGTTCCTCCTGCTCATTTCCCTCGACGACATGTATTATTTCGTTGCTGCATGAAGCGCAATACACGACCAACGATGGCAACGAACAACCCCGAACCAGGCGACACGCCAGTGGACGCGCCATGGTCAACTACGCTGCTCGGGACCCGAGGGAGGTACGTGCAGCCATCCCTCGCCCAGGCACTTCCGATACTTATCTTGCCTTGAAGTTGCGTCCGTACCCACCCCCGCCGTCATCGCCATCCCCGTCCGTCAAAAGGACATACAATGGGCTGACTGTCGCACGTTCTACCATACTCAACGACCGGCCGGCCGACAACGGGAACAGCGCAGTCGTCCCCGCGGCCATTGCGGTCGCAGTCTTTGTCGCCACGACCCTCGTTGTGCTGAAGCTCCTCCGCATGGCTCGCCAGCACCGCAGAGCCGTTGCCGCTCACCGCCAGATTGACGAACTCGAGCTGCCCCGCATGTGGGAGGTTCGCCTCTCCGCGTCGAGTGGGCAGGGCAGGTGGTCTGACTTGATGGTATGTGAATCCTCCTCATTGGTGCTACGCTTGGGCTTCGTCATTAACACGTGTTGATATCCAGCCCGTTGCGGCGGAATACATGCAAGAGCAGAGCAACACTTCCGAGGGACACACTCCTGTGACCTTTGCTCGGCCACTCTTCGGACACGTCGAAAATCACACTCTGACGTCGGATGAGCATCATGGTATTATACGCGTCACCGTTCTTGTCACGATGCCATCGCAACTTGAGGCTGACATGAACGAGAGACACAATGCTCACGTTCCTTATGTAGCCATTGGTACCGTACCGTAGTGTAAACGAATCAATTCAGTGACCAGTCGGACATCAATCATTGAAATGGAATTATTTCTGTTGTAGAGTACGAACATGCGTCGAAAGAAAACTAGATTCGGTAGAGCCAGTACATATTACCGACGCACTTTCCCTGACAAGACTCGACATAGCCCGGCCAGTCTAAAGCCTCGCGGGCGTACCGAACAAAAAGTAGCCAGAAGCCACCGTCATTGACCACCTCAGGGGTCGAACCTGCAATCTCCTGATTACACTGAAGCGTGGGATCTCATCGTAGTCAGACGCGTTGCCATTACGCCAGGCGGCCATACTTATTGCTTGCACATAGTAGTCATCAGCATGTAATTATCTAACAATTGTTCAACCGCAAATTCTATGCTTTGTCGACCTGGGGAACATGTCAACATGCCCACAGGCTCGCACTGATTCCTCCGACAGCACATACAGACCCAGTACGACCCTGTAATTGACGACAAGATCAACATCAAAGACTGAAGGTGATTGGTAGTGCCTCACCTTGACATCTGATCATCTCTCCGCAGGTACAATGCGACCAACAAGTTGAGAAGTTGAGAACCCAACGAAACCTGCATTCTTATCAGCGCCCGCGACTCCAACTCGTTCTGCGCCTCCCGGTGGGCGCAATTGCCGAGGACTAACCTTCTCCGTTTGCGCCGCGAGTGCGCTGCGAACTCGGAGCCTAAAGGTGACCTGCGCCCGAAGCCTGAGGAGGACACAAACTGTTAAGTTTGTGAGACGACATCCCGCGGGTCAATCGAGACGAGGTCGGCGTAGGGAGCGAAGTGAACGGAGCCGGACACCGCATTCACCGCAAATCTGTCGCGCCGCCTGGATGACTTGGCTCAGCGAGGCACATCGTACAGAGGAAACATAACCGAAGCTTGCGGATTCAGGGGAAACATGTACCGCCACCGGCCTAGGTACCCAAAAAGCCCGCAAGTCTGCCTGTCGGAACCGGCCGCAATGCTCGGGGCGCCCTACGTACTGTTTCCGCCAAGTACATACCAGGTCTTCAATCTAGAGCACTCCCAGAACACAAAGGGAAGCTGTCCGGCTCGATTAGCAGGAACATGCAGACAAGTCGGCAGTGCAAATCCCCCCACCATGTCATGATGTGCAGGGCACTCAAGCTACACTCAAGAGCCCGCCCATCAGGAATGCAATGCCCCGCCAACGCCCTCGAGGCCGCGACTGACACATCGGCGCGTTCCATGCTGATGCGCCAGACGCAGAACGCCGGAAGGTGCACGCGGGTTGGGCCATGCGAGAATCAATTTCGGAGACGGCGGGGGCTTTGACATGCATGATGCTGTTCCGAACTTTATTGTGGGCCCCTGGCGACGCGTTTCAGTCATGATGGGGCGTTGTTCAGGTCCATGAGGGACGTCTGAGACTGGGGCTCCGTATGTGGCAAGGGGCTCGACGGCGTTGGACGGTATAAGAGCGACGCGCAGCGGGAGAGCATGCCAGCATCCTCCCACCGGAGCAACCCAGCACCAGCAACCCTGAGCTTCTTCTACTGAAGGAACTCGCACTCACCTGCATCCACAAACCAACCTTCTTCCCTCGCGTTCAACTTTCTCTGTGTTCGCAATGTCGTCCACTTCGTCTCCCACCCACTCCCACGACCTCCACGTCGTCATCCCCACCTCCGAGTCGCGCGTGCCCACCGCGACGACCCCAGTGACTCCCGTGAAGAACCAGGGCCCGGTCTTCAGGAGACTCAACGAGCGGTCTGCCGCACGGTCATCCCCTACCCACCCGCACGGGCTCTTCCACGTCCTCGACTCGTCGTCTCCCACCCACTCGCACGGGCTCTTCCGTGCCCTCGACGACTCGTCCCCTACGCACTCGCACGGACTCTTCCGCGTCCTCGACGACTCGTCGCCCACGCACGGCCACGGGCTCTTCGTCGTGCCAGACGACGACTCCTCGCCCACCCACGGACACGGCCTGTTCCGCGTCCCGCCTGCGGACTCGTCGTCGCCCACTGCCCCGCGCCCGTCTGCACGCGTGATGCGGCGGAGCAGTCTCTTCTTGAGCAACAACGACCATGGCGAGGAGGCTGAGCACGATCCGGAGCAGCACCAAGTGCTGTCTGCTACCACGGAGGCGAGCGAGCCGTCCAGCGCCGAGCTTGACGGGTCGTTCGAAAAGGGGGCGCACCCCGCTGCTGCGAACACTGAGGAGGCTTGAGGTCGATCGCGGCCCTGTCTTTCATGCAATTGCATCCCGGCTTCTTCTATCCTTATTCTTGTTTTCCATACTTTATTCTTGTTCATATTTTGCGCTTCCAGAGACCGAACACTCACTGTATCACTTGCGATAAATTATCCTCCTATGTATCCTCATACATGTAACACACACATCATCTAGACGTAGCTTCCCTAACATATCAGTACATCGCATTGGTTTATCTGTATGCGCACACTTACCAATCATCAGAGTCGTAATCTATACGCGTCATTGCTCAGGAGCGGACGTCCCGCAACGATCCTCCAGTTCCTGTTCCTCCTTGCGGAGTCTGTTCATCGTGGCCTCGAGGACTTTCCGACGTCGCTCCTCCGGGGAGTCGGTCGCGCTGCTCGTACTAGCGCCGCCAAGCACGCGCGAACCTCCGAGTACGTATGCTTGGGCCTCGGCTTCGAGTGCGGACTGTGGCGCGTCGAAACCAGCGCTGCCAAGGTAGTGCGTCCCAGCAGCCTGGGCGCGCTCGAACTCGGTGACCTCCTTGTTCAGAGTAGAGTTCAACTCCTTGAACTATACGCATACACCCAGTCAGAGTCACGGACCTAGTGACGAGCTATTGCTACTCACATTGTTGTCGTGATCGCCCCAGACGTTGTGGGTGAGTTCGTGACAGAGCACTCTCCTGACCTCCTTGTATGTGCGGAAGCCGTCGTATCGATCCGTCCGTAGACGCAGCTTAATTGCCTGACCTGCGTTCACGTTCAGTCCGAGGAGGTGCGGTTGCTCATGCGGCGCCAGCTCGGTGAGGACCCCGACCGAGAACTGGTGCTTGTTCATGACATGACGTATGGCCGGGTCGTTCGCTAGCTTGGTAAGCAGGTCGCGGGCTGAGGATGGATTGGGGAGATGGGGCAGAGGTTCGATACTGTGGAAGGTGTATCTGGGGTCTGCTGCAGATGACCCCGTAGACCGTACCTGACAAGGTTGCATACGTTAGTTTCACGGAGGCAAACGGTGAAACGTACACAGCAAGGCGGGTCCTTGAAAGGAATTGTCCGGGAGCCAAGCCCGCCTCACACACCGCACAGGGCGGCAACGGCGTAGTTCATACAAACTCGCGGTCGGCAAGAACGACCAGCGAGTGTGCGCAGATCATTATGTTCTTGTGATCGTGTTCACAGGTGGCCGAGGGGCCCCATGGCTCTGTATGCTTGGTGCGCCGGACAAACCTCGCACTCGCTCAGAAGTTGTCCAGGAACATGAACGTACCTTCACCGGTGCCCGCTGTGCCCGTTCTCGCAATATGCGCTCCTTCCGCTGGTGCTCGCTCTCTGTCGCTTTCAGCCCGCCGAGCTCTTCTGCTGTGGGGCCGATAAGCTGCACCTTGGTTCCATCCTTCAAGCCTGCCTCGGTTATCGCGGCGTCACTGGAGACGTTCTGCTTACCCTTGAAAAGTAGCTTCTGGTTCTCCGGGGCGACGGAAGTGAGTTCCTCCAAGCGTTGTTGAAGGTATTCGAGGGTCGCATGGGGCAGCAGAGAGAGTGGATGCGTAGTTCCACGATGGGAGACGGAGATGATAATTGGGGAAGACATGTAGTTACTATGCGGGACCGTAGTCGTAGATGGTGGTGGTACAGGGACAAGGGCTAAGTCGGAAAGTTTCTCAGCAAGGAGACGGTGTACGCGTAAGTTCACTGGAGAAGGCTATTGAGAGGCTAAGTGGGAATGCCGTCGTCCCCGAGTCGACGACGCCCGAGCGAGAGACGCCTGCCTACTGCGATCCTCAGTTGTATGATGTCACGGCTTTGTACTTGTACGCTCGCTCGGGCCTCAAGTACCTCCTGAGTACCTCTGCCAGTCGCCGACGCTCGCTCTGCGCCACGCCGACCACGCTTGCGTTCCCTGCACGCGTCCGCCGCCACTGTTCCCTCCTCTGCGCGTCCCCTCTGCACTGCGCCCCGCCGTGTCCCGCCTCTGCCCGCTTCTCGCTGTACTCCAAGTACAAGTTCAACACAATCTCGTCCGCTACGATGAGAGGGTGGATGCACGCCGTGCGAGTACGCTGGTCACTGCAGAGTGCGAACAGGTGAGTGTCCTCGTCCACGATTCTCGTACGTGACTTCCCCCTCGCAACCTCCCCTGCCACGCGTCTCCCGGTTCCGCTCGTACATCATCCTGCAACACCGACCGGTCGCCTCTCCCCGAGTCTCCGCATTTCTATGACGCCCCCTCAATCCTCACCGCGTTCGAGACAGCCCACAAGACTTGGCCATCCAAGTTCTTGAGCTCAGGTAGGTCATCATGCCACCGAGGGTCGCGTAAATCACACCCACCACGCGCGGTGGGTGTCAGAATGGTTCGCACAACTGGATCCCGCTGCACCGGATATGGGCGACGTACATCCGCGCACCTTTGTCCTCGCCTATCACCGGTGTAGCAGGGACATGCGCCCGGGGTGTCGTCATCTCTCAGTCCCTCCAGTCCGTTTGCCCCGCCATTTGCCAGGGCATGACATGTGGTCCGTGGCACATGGCGAGTTTCCGTTAGAATCCTGTTGTCATACATGCTCCGTACTATATCATTCTGTTACACTCCACGTTTGGTTACTCGCCCCATTCCCGCGAATATTGCGATCACTGACCTTGTCCTGATCCCCGTACAGGTGTTGCCGTATACGTCTATTGCGTCGTCACGCACTCGTTCAGGTCTCCTGTTGGCAACTCGGATATGAGTTTCTTCATTGACGGTATCCTGGTCAGCAACTTCGTACAGCCACCCACGGGAGGTACTGTGGCACACATCAATATAATGTGCCTGTCTACGGCAATGAATCCCTCCCCTCCGGCTCGCATACCATCGCTATCGTCAATGGGCACCCCAATGGCAATCAGTCCCTCACTTCGTTGGATCGTATAGTCTACACGTACGTTTTCCCAGCGCTGTCACTGGTATTTCGTTCCCACTGATCCGGCTTGCGTACAGACAAGATATTACTTCCTCCGCGAACTCAACTTCATCTCTCACCCCCTCCGCTAATGCCCCCGCCGCCAGCACTACCTCCTCTCCTCCCAATGCCATGGCCGAGACCACATCCAG